GCCTGTCCGACATCAAGTCCTGGATGAGGGACAACTTTCTCCAAATCAAGACCGAGGACCTCCTGATTGGTTCGCGCCAGCGTCTCTGCACCTCAGGCGCTGGCAGCATCAGCCTCCATGGCTGCACACTCAACCACACTAAGCCAGTCAGGAACCTGAGTGTCTTGTTTGATCCTGAACTGTCCTTTCTCCCCCACATCCGCATCTTGACCGCCACTGCCTACCACCACCTCCGCAACATTGCCAGACTCTGCCACTGTCTCACCCCTCAGGCTGCCGAAACCCTCACCCACGCATTCATCACCTCAAGGCTTAATTACAGGAACTCCCTCCTCATCGGCCTTCCCAACTCTTCCGCTCACAAGCTGCAGATCATCCAAAACTCTGCAGGTCGTGTACTGTCGTGCACCAGGCTCCGTGACCCCATCACTCCCACCCTCGCCCGACTCCACTGGCTCCTCATCTCCAAGAGCATCGAGTTCCAGATCCTCGTCCTCACCTTTAAGGCCATCATGGCCTTGCCCACTCCTACCTCTCTGACCTGCTGACTCCCTACCATCCTGCACGCTCCCTCCGTTCAGCGGGCTCCGGCCTGCTCCATGTCTCCCGCCTGACCCACCCTACCATCGGTGGCCGGGCTTTCAGCATCTCTGCCCCCCACACTCCATCCCACGGTCCCTTCGCCTCGCTTCCTCCCTCGCATCCTTCAAGGCCGGTCTCAAGACCCTTCTCTTCGACCCTGCCTTTGATCTCCCTCCCACCTCTCTGCCTTCCCTCACCCCTACACCACCCCTCCCCCTTGCTTGGGCCCCGACAGCTGACTGCTCAGCGCTTTGGGATGTCCTCCCAACGTGAAAGGCGCTCTATAAATGTAATTTTTGTTGTTTCTTGCTCTCTCACCCTCCCCATTTCTCATCTCTCACACACTCTCCCACCTCTCTCAATCACTCTCCTCTCCTCTTTCTCACACATTCTCTCTCAGCAATTACTCTCTCTCCCACACTCTCCCTAAATCACTCTCTCTCTCTCTGCTCTCTCGCTGCTCTCACTCTCTTTGTTTCAATCTCTCCCCCACTCCCTCACACTACCCCTCTCTGTCAATTATCCTCTGTCCCCCACTCCCCCTTTCACCTATCATTCACATTCTCTCTCTTCTCACAAACTCTCTCTCTCAGTCGCTCTCTTTCTGTTCCCTCTCCAACCCCTCCCTCGCTTCCCCTCCTCAAGGAATGACTCGTATCTCCATCCCCGTCCCTCTTCCCGTTGCTCTCCATGCAGCCTCTAAGCAGAGAGCGATGGGAAGAGAAGCACAGCCTGGAGGTAAAGGCGTCAATCAAAGCCGAGATTCCTCACACTTCAAACTCTGGGCCATAAATCATGGCTTACATTGTTTGTGGGTCAATCTGGTCCTGCTGCTGGAGTTTAACCAGTGAAAAGTGCATTGCTCACCATAGAAAGCACTAACTGACAAGATTCCAGCTACTCATCCAGCTGGGAAATAAAATTGGTCACTCATTCTGTGGCTGTCTGTGGGACATTGCTGTGTGCAATTAGCTGCAAAGCTTCACCCACAAATTACACAGGCAATCCATTTTATAGTATATCCTGTGAAGCGCTTTGAGACGTCTCAATAATATGCTATTATCAAAAATGAAGGGGACCATCCAACCCATTAGGGCATTCGTTAACTTGCAGGAGCCAGGTGGGAGAATCCCTTCCCCCAGAGACCAGTTAAAGTTTTGTGAGATAAAATCAATCACTTTAGCAGGTATCAAGATGGTTCTGCTAGCTTCAACAATAATTTGCATTTATATTTCCCCTTCACGTAGGGTACAATCTGGGATCGGTTTACAGGGCCAGGGTTGTACACTCAGCAAGGGAGGGAGAGGGGGGAGGTGGGCAGACACACATTCAAAGATTTGGGAAGGCAGAGAGAGGGGGCAAGACAGAATGGAAAAGGGAGGGAGTTGCAGAGGTTAGGAGGGTAGGGACTGATTGTGGCGTGAAGAGAGCAGAGGATGGGCAGAGAGCACAGGTTGAGCTCAGCAAAGAGAGCGAGCGGAAGAGTATGCTTGGGGAAGATGTTTCGCTTGGCTCCAACACTTTGTCCCACTCGTATTTAATTTTGTCCTTTGCTCAACTGCTCAAAGTCAGTCAGATATCTGTGATCGTCGTAGCTAAGTCACAATTTGCACCCACACTTCATGTGGTATGAACATCTGTCTCAAAGTGCTTCAAGTGGGTGATGGGATACAAATGGAGAAGAAATTTAGAGACGTAGAAATTTACAGTGCCGCTCATTGAATTAGCTCATCGAATTAGCAGTGGCTCTGAGAGCAAGGTGTCCATTGAATCCAACTGCCCTGCTCTAACTCCACATCCCTTCAAGCTTCTATACACCTAATAATAACAAGAAAAAAATACAATAATTAGTTGATCACCTCAAATCCATGACTGCTTGTGGGACACTGCTGTGCGCAATTGGCTGCCGCATTTTGCTCACAAATATAGTCAATTCACTTTACAGTCTATTCTATGGAGCGCTTTGAAACGTCTAGAAAACGTGCTACATCAAATGCAAGGATTATTATTATTACTATTATTATTATCATCTATCCTTCATCCCTGTCTACTTGCCTCTCAAAGTCCAGACTGACTCTATCTTAACCACCTTACTTGGCAGGGCATTCCACATACCAAAAACTCTATGAGCCAAGTGTTTTTTTGCCTCAGCTCTCCTTTGAGGCAAAGGAGAGCTGCCTCTCCTTTGAGAGAGGCAGCTCTCCTTTGCCTCAAAGGAGAGGCAAATTTGACAATTTGGGGAAAATTGCAGGGACATTTGGCAGATTTTACAAAAAATTGTTGGGGGTTGGGGTGGGAGGCTTGAGTAGTGCCATTGAGAGGTATATTTTACTTCCAACCTACATTTTTTCACTTTATTGATGAAAATAAACATAAAGAAATAACATATATCACAATGTTTCCAAAAACATTATTAATTTTTTCTTTAACAAAAACTGTGTGGCCCACTTGTCACAAAGACACACACACACACGCAGAAACTCAAAGACATACACTCACAGACAGATAGAGACACACACTGATAGACAGGGAGACACACTCAGACACAGAGACTCAGAGCGGTGTGTGTGGCAAAGGGGTTGTGTGTAGAGAAGGAATGTGTAAAGCAGAGAGGGGGTGTTTATGGTGGAGTGTGTGTGTGTAGCGGAGGGGGAGTGTAGCACAGGGGTATGTGTAGTAGAGGGGGCTGTTTTTGTACCGGAATGTATGTTTGTAGCGGAGGGGTGCGTATGTAGAGGAGGGTGTGTGCAGCGGAGGGTGTGGGTGTGTGTAGAAGAGAGGGGAGTTTGTAGCAGGTTCCGAGGAAAAATTGTGTCTACACTTTTGCATTGGTCCAGCTCATAACTGTACTCCTTCGGCACCATTAGGTGCTGTCAGCACATGGGGGAGCATTTCAAACGTCCTAGGGTTTGTTTAAAAACAAATTAAATATTCAATGTTAAATTCGTACTTTCAAACACTTATCGGCTGGCAGTTGGCTGTGGTAATCTCTCCTCCCGCTTCCACAACCAGTGCTTACACCAACCTTTCACAAGATCGTCTCTCCTCCCTGCTGCAGGCTTAAAGTAGAGCAGCTTAAACCGTGATTTCTGTGTGACAAACTGGCACCCCACATTGCACAGGTTGAGAAGCACGATCTGCAAGGAAATTGTGCTTGAGCCTGGTTGCCAAGACCATCTTGAGAAGGTGGTCTTGGCAACACTTTCATTCATTATAAATATAGACGATACAAATAGATTCAGGCTCCGCTCCAAAGGGGTCATGGCTTGGTGTGAAGAACATTAAAAACAAGAAACGATTTATGTTAACAGTCAGCTATCTCTTAAAAGAAACAAAATGTATTGCTGTAAAGTGGAACTTGGTGCAGTAATTTAGTTGCAAAAGAAACACACAAGATCTCTGAGATTCTGAGCAGGAGTTGGAAGTATATAGGGAGTATAGCAGCAGAGATACCCCTGGGGGTACCTGTGTATGTTAACCCCCAGGGGTCTCTCTGCTCCTTTGTAGGTGGCAGGACAGGGTGATAGAGCTGTTAAAAAGTATTTGGAATCCTTGGCTTTATAAATAGAGGCTTGTAGTACAAAAGCAAGGAAGTTCTGCTACACCTTTAGTTACTGGTTAGGCCTCAGCTGGAGTATTGTATCCAATTCTGAGCACCACACTTCAGGTTAGGATATCAAGGACTTGGAGAGGGTGCAGAGATTTACCAGAACGGTACCAGGGATGAGAGAATTTAGTTATATGGGGAGACTAGAAAAGCTGGGATTGTTCTCCTTAGACCAGAGAGGGTTAAGGGGAGATTAACTTTCTCCCCTATAGGAGGGTTTTGATAAAGTGGATAGGGAGAAATTGTTTCTACTGGCAAGTGGGTCAGTAACTTGGGAACATAGATTTAAGATAATTGGCAAACAAACCAGAGGGGAGATTAGGAGAATTATTATTTTTTTTTTTTACAGAGAGTTGTTAGTCTGGAATTCACTTCCTGAAAGGTTGGTGGAAACAGATTCAATCACAACTTTCAAAAGGAATTAGGATAGGTACTTGAAGAGGAAAGACTTGCAAGGATATGGAGAAAGAGCAAGGGAATGGGATGATTGGGTAGTCAGTCCAAAGAGCAGGCACAGGCATGATAAGCCTTCTGTGCTGTAATATTCTGATTCTCTTCCTTATTTTCATTACTGTTTGGAATGGGGTTGCCTCTGACTTCCATCCATGTAAGGGGGGCCATTGCAAAACAGTTACTGTAGTAGGCTGGAAAAATCAAAGTCAAACAACTTGGTTTGACAACACATTGTGAGTGCGGGGAAATCGGAAAAATCTCAAGTAACCCAGGTCTCTCTTTTCAAACACAGGCAAAAGGATAGACATGGTGTGTGTATGAATGTGCATAAGTAGACAAAAATGTAGAAGACAAAGCATCAAGGTCAAGTAGTTTTTTTTTTATTTAAGATTTAGTTCCAAATCCGAAGAGGTACATTTTTTTAAATTTTAGCGTCAAGATTAACCACGTTGTCTTCAAATACTGCACGATGTCCAGAACCTACAGGGTTACTCAAAGCAGCAGGCGGAGTTCAAAAAGGTTGTGCTCCTGAAGAATGAGGTGACCCCCCCCCCAAAGGCAGTGCTATCCCAGAGCTCCCATTCCAGTGAATTTTAAAAGCCAACAAGAGATAGAGACAGACACAGAGAAAGACAGAAAGAAATGAGTATATACCACTCTTTGTGTTCAGCTGTTTTTATTATCTTCTAGGTATTAAATTTGTGAATGCTTTAAAACATATTTCTTGTATTATTTATTGAAGCTAAATTCAAAATTAAAAAAAATCAATTTGTTTTAGTCAACTCGTCCACTCCTCAACTACATGCCCATTTACCACTAATCAAACAATGCTTACCCCAGCATGCCATACTCGCTCTGACACAACAAACTCAAAAGCATTTCATTATATAAGTATGAATTTTAACCCCCAGGACTCCATTTGTGTTTCACTTTGCAATTCTTGTACATTCACCCAAATTACGGTTTTCTTGAAACACAACACAAAAATCTATTGCCAAAGGTGACTTTGTTGATAAGATACCAATTGTCAGAAGGTTGCAGCCTGCGAGATGGGGGAGCATGCTGTTTTTTTTAAAAAAAGACTGGTGAGCAGAAAAAATCTCCTGATAATTTTCAACATAACCCTGTGACTGCATTGCATCTGGGGCTGATCAGGAACTGAGATTATGTGTGGGAAGGGAGGGAGAGAGAAAGAGCAAAGAGATAGAGAGAAAGGGGGCAATAAATCAGTTATGTCTAATGACGATCCAATGCAGAGCTCTGTAGTAGATCTGTGGGGGGGTTGTTGGGGGGTCTGAAGGTGGTCTGGAAACCAGGAGGTGGAGAGTGAAAATTGCCTGGGTTGGAAGGAGGAGGGTAGGGAGCCCAGCCAGCTCTGTGTAAGGGGATCTGTGTGCTGAAGGGGTTACTGTGCCCTGTCTGTGCGACAGCAGGGCCATCTACTTCTGTGAGGGCCTGAAGCGACTTCAGCCAGTGTGGTGGATTCTCGTCCTGCAGAGAGTCTAAACTGTTCCCTGTGGATGCTGGCACTCCTGTTGAGAGAACACAAATCCATTAGGCACCTGGTGGTATTTCACTCTTCAAATCACAGTTAATGTAAAACGTAATGCTGAAAATAAACATTCAAGTGAGGAACCCTGACCACAATGACTTGTTGGAAGCACCTCATGCTCAATAATGAAGCTATCAACATTGGTTTGGGCACAAGCATTTGTCTAATGAGTAGTATCCTGAATACCAGTCATTTAGCTGAACAGCAACAAGGATAGCAGCAGTTGATGGGGATAATTATTGGGAACATGTTCTCCAGCGCCAAATGACACCCACTGTGCATAATTCAGTGCTGATGGGGGGTGTTTAATTAGAACAATACAATAAATGGTAAGATTTGTACCAGGAGGCCTCCAATACTTGCCCACCCTTTATATTGTTCATTCTAAACACTGACAAAGCAGATATCTAGAATAAAAACAAAGCACTCCACACTGCCAAGATTACTTCATTGATGCAGAGGTATCTCAGTCAATTAACCTTTGCCATGCCAGTTTTTAATCGTGTAAAATAAACGTTCCACAGTTGACAGGATGCATAACATAGTAATAAATTATTCAAAGATTAATATATAGTTTGATTGAATTAACAGATTATCACACACATTTAAACCGAATACAATTGAACCTCTGCTCACTTCATAGATCAGCCTCACTCCACTGCTCAGGGTGAGAATCTAACAGGTCTCCAAGGTGGTGCTGTTGACACCAACCAATGGATATGTTGTTAATGATGTGGTTGATTTTGAAAAATACTTGAAAATTTAAACCACAGGGAAATGTCAACTCCCACAAGGATAGAAGAGTAAATTCATAGTCACAAATAATCGTCCTGACAAACAGCTGCATGTTTTCCAACCTCTCAGAATCAAAGTAAAATACCAAATAGGACGGTTACAGAAGGCTTCCACTCAATTTCCTTGTGTTTGATCATTTAACCTGTGGCCCAAATTATAAATACAAACCCTCAGTGGATCTCAGTCTAAACTGCAAGCTGTTGCACTAACAATCCCATCCACATTTCCTAAACTCATGGACTGTCCCACTGACGTCACGCTTGACTGGAGAACAGTGCGACATTCGATGTTGACAACAGTGCGACATTCTCAGTTCACAAGAGGTGCAATTTTGATGCTGAAATTGAAAAAGACCAACAATGGTCTTCAAAATGAGCAGCATGTGTCATAAATAAATGAAAGTAGGCGTGCACGGTTTGTTTGAGCTTCAAAATTATAATAACCTTTGCAATTGTTGTAACGTCTACAATGGTGAAGTGTCACACACATCTTTACAGTCGTTTCTGTTAAGTGCAGTGACTATTCCGCCCACAAATGTACAGTCAATTCACTTTACAGCATATTCTGTGAAGCGCTTTGAGACGTCGAGAAGACGTGAAAAGCACTATATCAAATGCAAGGATTATTATTATTATATATTTGTAGGCAAATAGCAGCCAATTTGCGCACAGCAATGTTCAGGAGATGAATGACCAATTCAACTAGAGCAGGGTTGGCCTGAACAACGGGAGAAATTCTCTTCTCTTTTTGAACAGTTATTTTTTGGGATTGCTGGGCAGAGCTCGTTAGCAACTTTTTACCCACAAATGCAAATATTCCTCTCTGAAGAAATAAAATGTATCCACTCAAGCAGGTCAGGCTATTTCACAGATTGATTCTATTTAATAACCATTCCTCATGTTGCCATATGAGAGGTTATTCCATATGAAGTGGATGTATTTTACATGTGTAGGGGAGAAAAAAAAGGTAGATTATTTGCTGACAGAGCATTTGGCACATCCATCTCACTGCCTTGGAAAATACTTGCACATTTCCTCCTTTGGGAATGAACTGGCACCAATGTGTGGCAATGGAATAGCAGAATCATTTGTTAGGCAGTTTGCCAGAGCAATGCCGATGATCAACCAGTCAGCCTGGGTCATTGGCAATTGAGGAACAGACTGGGGACATTCAAGTCCCCCTTATCCCACAATGGTCTTCGCCGGGTAAAAATAGGAAGGCAGCCTTTGCCAGTGTTCACAATGGCTGGGTCAACTCCAAGAATGATCATTTTGTACTCCTCAAAAAAGACCATGGCTGTGTCTTCAGAGATTCCCCCATGTACTTAATAAAATCCATCCTTTGATAGATGTTAAACCAGGTTAACAGTTATTTTTAAGGGCTCTGAGACCTGCCTGGCATGGAGGCTGTTGTATGCAGGTTGCTGTTGTTAAACTGAGGCGTTGTCTGCCTGTTCATGTGGATACCATCCAAATGATACTATTTGAAAATTGAACCTTTCAGACGATTGGGACAGTGTATTGAGGACAAGGGACTGTGTTAATCCCACACATCAGGAATGAATTTCCAAGATCCATGGAAGTGAAGTACAAAACTTGTCATTTTCTGATGCGTTTCTGCTAAGACACCAGTAGGTAGTACAGTTGATATAGTGTATGTGGACATTTAGAAAGTCATTTGATAAGTTGCCACATAATTGACTAGTTAGCAAAATTAGAGCCCATGGGATAAAAGGGACAGTGGCAGGATGGATAAGAAATTAGCTGGGAGATGGAGGATTGTAGTGAATGGTTGTTTTTAAGACTGGAGGAAATATCTGGTGGAAATATATTCAATAACAACTTTCAAAAGGGTAATGGACAGGTTCTTGAAAGGGAAAAAAATTGCAAAGATATGGGGAAAGAGCGGAGGAGTTGGGACTGATTGGGTAGCTCTTCCAAAGAGCAGCACAGGCACGATGGGCTAAATGGCCCCCTTTTGAGCTGTAATATTCTAGGATTCTATGAGTCCCTGTTAATATCCACCGACCAACATGCAACAGATCAGTGAGCACAAATACTCAAATTGCAGATCCAAACAACCTTAGATTCTGAACTAACTCAGAAGCATCAACATCAATTGTAAGCAGCACTTAATTATTCTAACTCTTCAATTTATTAGGGGGAAAAAAAGAGAAAGGAAAGTGGACTTAAATTCAATTTCTATTTCTTCAACCACAACAAAATCATTCCTCCCCTTAATTCCAAAACCATTCACTTGTTTGTAATGGAAAGTAGAGTGGTATCCCAACTCTGTAGCCAGTTAAATTGACTGAGGCTTAAACATCATTGGTGAAAATGATTTTAGGCCTCAGTAACAACTCATCGAACTCTAGCTCTAGGAATTCAGTGTGAGATATCATGTACTTCATTCTCTACGGAAATGTGGGAGAGAGAATTGCTGTGCCACTGGGTCCCACTGTATATTTATTAAATGAAGTAGGCAATATGCAAGCTGCCCTGGGATATCTGGAACCAAAAAAGGCATACCAGGAGCCACAAGATGAGACATATCTGGGAGACAGAGTTTATTCAAATAGATGTCAAATGAAGCACTCAGCATGCTGTTGACAGTAACATACTGGTGGTATGTTGAACTTGGTAGATCTCACTTCAATCAGTGTGTGCTTGTAGCATCTTATTTCAACCCCAAGTCTATCCTATTTTACACAGAGGTGAAATCGAGTGTCATTGACAGCCGGGTAGTGACTGCAACAAAATAAGGACAGCAATGCTCAGCTTCCCATTGACATAAATATAAACCAGAACATTGCTGCTGGCATCTGTGTTTGGCCACATAAACCCATTTGTAACCGTGGCTGCAAATGATCTTACGACATGAAATGACCTGTAGATTTTGCTGTTCATCAATCTGTTAACTCAATGCTGTGGCCCAATGCACAATCATTCTGCAATTGTTTATTTTGTCAGTCTACAGTCCAAAAATCATTCCTTTTCAACCACTGCTGTTTATCCTCCTTAAAATCATTTGCATAGATTTACATGGATTGTCTGTGATATTCTTTGGACGGAAATAGACCATTCAACCCAAAGAGTCATTGTGGGTGTTAATACCCACATGCATCTCCTCTCACTCCTTACACACACCCAATCATTAAATCACTTGACATTTTATTGGAAGGTGCTGGTAGCAGAATGTAGGTCAGAGAATTACTGTAGGCAAGAATTACGTTCAAAAGGCAGAATGTAAAGAATACATTTTTTAAAAAATGAGACACCTGGAAAAACAGGTTTGGTGAACTTTCAAATACAGTTCCACTGTAAAAGAGGCAAACTAACAAAAAGGTCACTTTGTGTACTGTTATTTTGGCAGTTTTTAGTGGAATAACTGCAAGAGGCAACTCTAGCTGGATCATAATCATTCTTCTAAACATGATATTCAAAAGCAATTCTCAAGGCAGCTGTCAAGTTTTTCCAACTTAGTATACCCAACTTCAAATTCACTTTATTCTGTGTTATTTTAAAACGAATACAGTGTCCAGTCTGGGCTTTGGCCTTAACACCCAAAGGGGAGAAAGTAGAGCAAAACAGAAACTAGAGATAGGTTTCCGCTGCCACTTTGCTGGCCAGTGCTGCTGATAAATTATAGGTAAACAGGTTGCTGTCTCAATTGTTTTGGCCTCAACAGTCTATTTTGTCCATTGGTGGTCACTGTTTTGCCTACTTGCCTATTTTAAGACAAAGAACCAGGGCCATTGCCCTTGAAGCTTTTTAGCTGTCAGCCTTGCTCGGTTGGTAACACTCTCAACTCTGAGTCAGAAGGTTGTGGGTTCAAGCCCCAGACCAGAACTTTGAGTTCAAATCTAGGCCGACACACCAATGCAGTCCTGGGGAAGAACTTATCCTTTGCATGAAATGTGAAAGAAAGATATCATCTGCCCATTTAGTCGCATGGCCCGATTTGAAGAGAAAAGATTGGTGAACTCAGGATTCACTGCATACAGCAATATCCCTCAAACGGCCATGAAGTGAATGACCAATTTTATCTGGCCAGGACACTGGGAGAACCTCCCTTAACTTTTCAATGGCATGGGATCTTTTAAGCCACACTTAAACAGGCAACAACAACTTGCACTTATATAGCGTCCTCCACTCAGGGCAGCATCTCAAAGCACTTAACAGTGGTGAAGCCTGACTTGGAGCAGGGGGGACGTGGCCATAAACACCATGAGAACAGGAAAGTCTTCACATCTCATTTGAAGGACCATAATTGAAGGCTTGAATAATACTAAATCCTTGCATTTGATATAGCGTCTCATAAAGTCGTTGAAACATCTTAAAGTACTTTAGAATATACTGTAAAGTGAATTGACTGTATATTTTGTGGGTGAATTGTTGTGGATTTATTTTTTTAAGGGATTATTACTCACGGAAAGCGATATGCCAATCGACCAACAACTGGATTCCTACTTACTGCTAGGTAAACAGAGGTGTGTGAAGTAAGGAAACTTGTCTTAGGTTTTGCCCTGCCTGGAATTGAACATGGGTCCTCTCACTTGTGCGATGAGTGCCCTAACCAATAACTGTATACAACCTTCTAACTCAGAGGCAAGGGTGCAACTGAACCAGGCTGACACACATTTTGTAGGAGAATGGAGAAAGCGCACCGAAAAGACTGACAAGACAATAGCAAGAACTGCAAGGGGAAATTCAACTGAAAAAGAAACAGGTGGCACATGGCACAAGCTGTTTGAAGGCTTAAGGACTCAGGTTTGCAGCAGACCTTTTCCGCATGCTAAGTTCTGATCTCAGATGTTCAAAAGGATCTGAACACAGGGGAGGGCAAGTCACTTCATGCTACTACGTCTCTAAACATTATTTCCCTAAACATTACAGATGTGTAGCACAATGCAGTCGGTTGTCAGAAACAAGCTGGTGACAGGCAATGGATGTAAACAAATGGGAACAAAGAAAAATACTAGACAACAGAAGTGTATAATTAAGGCCACACAGATCTCAAAGAAGGCAAAATCTTGCATGCGAGATTTTTTTTACCAGAGGTTGTGACAACATAAGTTTTGCTCAGTTATGGGTAATCTGGAAGCTAAACTGCATACCCCAGTTAGCTGTTGGCAAGCCGTGAGTTTTAGCATTGAGTTCCTTCAAACACCAAGTTGGTGAGCAAAACTAACAAAGATACTAACCATTAGTTTGTATTGAAGTGTTGCATGTTGCTTATCAAAATATACAATTCCATTGCTATAAATGAATTCACAGCACACCCACATATACCACAATAAACAAGGAAACTCCACCTAAAGGTTCCTGCTCAGGTCAGAATGGGACCACGACCATATGACACCTTTACTGAGCAGCACCATCAATGAAAACGCTACAAGTTTTCTGCACATTGCTCTGAGATCAGTGCAGTTAGAAATTCAGAGTAAACACAATGATTAGAAGCACCCTTGTTCACTGCTACGTTGATCACCCTATTTGGAAGCAGTGGTTACCGCATTTGCCCACAAATACAGTACAAATTCTCAGAGGTACTGAGACATTGTGGTATGACGGTATATCAAACGCAAAGATTATTAGTGAGTAGCACTATGGGCTGAGGGAGGCGACATAAGCTGATTAATCGTCAAACCCACTATTCTGCATAAACTGAACCGATTTTATACAAAATTTTGCGTGAGTGGAAGAGGATAATAGTATCCAAATTGTGTACTCTTTGAAAGTTACATACACATTAAATCTAGATTGCTTTTCAGTAGCCACACCTGCAATCTCAGGGTTTTCCACTCGGTTTCATTTGGTACCAGCTAAACCTGCGTTGCAGGCCAGCTGCAGCTGGCTGCAGGCACCAAATCACTAAAACCAGCCACATTTACGCACAGGGATAATTCTTCCCCATCATCTTTGACCTAATTACAGGAATTCAGCCCGTCTTTAGCTAGTTAGACTCCAGCAGTCACCCCAACACACATTCTGGGGTCCATGTGTCCACACACTAATTTCCATGTGCAGGTGGGATGCATGGAACTCAGTTTGGTTTGGATACTCCTAAACACAGAGATAGGTTTCTACATGCATCAGCTGACCAAAAGTAAAAACCAGAACTTATCCCTTCAAAATAGAATGCCAAAATCTCCATCGTACAAGCCAAACTATTGCTACAGCATAAACACAGAAGTTGCTGGGAGCACGCAGCAAATCAGGCAGCATCCACAGAGAGAGGAAAATTAGTTAGTTTCAGGTCTATGACCTTTCATCAGAACTTTCCATATATATTAATATAGTAGATTGACAAACATTTCTTATGCTCAGGTTAATTCAGGCTGATTGGGTTTTACAAGTTGTGCTCGTGTTTTTTTATCATCAAAAATTACAAATGCTTCATGAACATTTCAAAAAGAAAATACTTTAAAATTGGGTTCTGAAATCCATCCATTACCACCCAGGAACCTATGTCACCTCAGTACTTTGTCCAAACTCCAAAATCTGTGCAACAAACCTCACTGAGAGTAGACAATACACACTGCAGTACTTCCTGATGTAAGAAAGCATTACAGACACTTGATCCATGGCTTCTAGGAATACTGTAATACCTGCAGCAGTGCATGAAAAAAGATGGATTATCTGGAAGCACGAATACAACCGAATGTCAAGTCATGCGCAACAAAAAACATTCCAGAAATGTAGGAACTGGGATTCCCTTCAGCCTCAAAGCTCAAAATATATTCTGATTGCACAGAAGTCCGTACATCTGCTTATAGCTATTTACATCTGCTTATAGCTTTGCATGGATTGTAACGAATCCTGTACAATACAATGCAAGAGTCAAAATATGCAACGTTTGTACAAGGCTCTGTGGAACCTCACTGTCAGTTAGTATTTAAATAGGGAAAATATTTATGTTAATATTTTCTACATGTGGATGAGATTCCATGCAACAAGCATGCAGCTAAAAATTCCAGTTACTGGCACCAATACAAACTCAATACCACAAGAATACAGACTACCAGCCGACAGAAAAAAAGATGATCCCATTCCTTGCAAAAGTTCTCTGCGTTGTGAAATAAATTGCAACATCGACAACCGAACAAGTCACCTACCTATCTTACAATTCATTTTATTCAGCTCCACTCTCATTTACAGTCGTGCTCCCGTGGTACGGTTACAAACTGATTTCATACAAGAGTCTGCAGCCATAATCACCCAAGGCTGATCATGCCTGGAGCTGTCATTCTCAACTCCAGAAATGAAGCACACTTAAGATTAGGTAGATGAGCTCAACATGAATGATGCAGAAGCACAGGTGCTCAAAAAGCACAGACACAAACAGTTTCCAGGAAAAAAAATTCAAACGGAAGATCCATCTGAGGGTTCTGAAAACCCACATTATTGCTTAATTGGTCCTAGTTCAAAGCAGAATTATGGGTTCAGTCTGAACAGGAGTGCCCTGAATGCAGATGATCTGATGGCCTCACCTGTAATAATAGCTGGGTCCATCCAGCTACTCCCACTCTCCCAGTTCAGGCTGCTGTTGTTGGCTGAGGTTGGTGCTGCATGGTTCACTGAAGAGCAGGAAGCAGCATTTGGTAGTCCCCCAAAATTGATGTTAATATTTGGTAACAGTGCCCGTAGACCATCCTGCCACTCTTTCATATTTAAACTTTCCACATTACTGCTGTTGTCTGAAAAAAATAAAATAAAATAAAGAAAAAAGAAAAATTAACTGGGCATTGCCTAATAGATTTGGAATTCACTGGTCCTATCTCCACTCTACCTTTTGGGCTCTCAATTCATTCACTGGTCTGTGTGGAAGCTTGCACACATTCAGTGGTTCCTTCTCTACTCCACTGATGCGGCCTGTGGGTGTTGCCTCAACAAAAAGTCATTGGGCTTGCAACTGTGCCTTTCTGCTCGAGTAACTTGGATCCACACGCTTGTGCATGTGTGTGTGTTTTACTGAGTCGAAGACAGCACTCCAATTTCATACTTGCAACATTTGCTGGCCTTATCTTCCATTTTCGGCACATTTCCATTGTCCTGTTATTCCAGACACTGAGATCTACATTCACTCCTTCCCAATGACAGTTCCGAGTCACCAAAGTCCTAATTGGATTCCAATGACCATTTGACTCACTTAAATCCACATTGATTCCCTGGTCCAATGACCACGCCAAGAACCAAGATCCACACACATTCATTTGTTCCATTTCACACCCAGATAATCCTGCCTTTGGCCTCGTTATTCACATTATGCCAATAAGATAGCAATTTATTTAACTGGCAGGTATTCGTAATTAGAATCAAATTTCAGGTGCTAATAGCAATGCAAAAAGACAACTGCATCAAGCTAAAATGCAATGAACAAATGCAGTGTTACAGCTGAGTCAATTACTGCATTTAAAAACGTAATGAAAAGCTTAAAAGGGGAGGGGGCAAAGGGGAAAGCTTTTGAAAATATGACAGCTCCAATTTGGGAGGAGAGGAGAAAGGGAAAACAACTGAGCAAGTCACTGCCATAATGAGCTTTCCGTGTTGGGTAATTTTATAATGAGCCAGCAGCAAACAGAATGTTTATTTATCACTATTCAATGCACAAGAACAAGCACATAAGGAATGCTTGCTTGCTATAAAGATTTGATATCATATTTCTCACAAGACAGCGCGATCCCTGTCCCTGGCAGCTTGTCGTCCCAAAAGAGAAAAAAAAGTGTCCTCAAAAAAGCAATCAATTTTTCTATGACCAAGATGCTCTGTGAAATTAAAACACTATTAGAACAAAATGGACTGTACTATCTTAATTGCTTTCAGAGTTTTTTTTAATATAAAGGGTTTAGCCATTAACAAATTTACCGAGCCCAGGCACTAGCAGACCGACAACTGGCTTTATTCCATACTTTATTCCAGTCAAGGAGGCCCTCCAAGTGCAAGCATGCCACATTGACAACATGAAAGTGCAAACTGACTGACTGAACTGCTGTAGCACAAATCTGACAAAAGCACTGCCCACAAGCTTTTGCAGTCGCTCACAGTAAAAAAGGTTTGTTGACCCTAACAATTTGCCATCATTCCAGAAATCATGCAAAAATCTTATGACAGACAGGTGAGACACCAAAATAGAGATAAATCCTAATCTGTTATTCAAAAGAGCTTCACAAAGACCGCAATACATAGGTCAATAATGTTTTGCTTACGATGACATTCAACTTCACTCAACTACAATTTCCCCTTTAGCATTCCCTATCCAATTTTAATAATCCTAGCATTTGACCTAGCGCCTCATCACACTGTTGAGCCGTCTCATTGTATTTCACAGGAAGTCCAAAAGTGCAGGGAGTACATTTGTGGGCAAATGCAATTTGCACACAGCAAAGTCCCACACAAACAACCTGAAAATGATTGCAGATCTTTGGCCAGGACAACAACATTTGTATAGCTCTTTTCACATTGGGAGGATGTCTCAAGGTTCTGGACAGTCAGGGATGGTGGGTCGAGGGGGGCGCCCAAAGGCACGGTCAAAGAATGGTGTCTTGACACGTGCCTTGATGGAGGCAAGGGAGGGAGCAAGGTGAAGGGACTGTGGAATGGAATTTCCAAGGGTTGGGGCAGAGAGGCTTAAGGCCCAGTCGCCAATGGTGGGGCAAGCCGGGCAGGAGATGTAGAGCAGGCTGGAGCCTCCTGAGTGAAGGAAGTGGACAGGTTTATATGGGGTTAGCAGGTCACAGAGGTAAAAAGGAGAAAGGCTGTGGATGAGGATTTTGAATCTATTCTCTGGGGGATGGGGAGACTGTGGAACCCGATGCGGGTGGAGGTGATCGTTTCACAGAGTCTGGTGCGAAGAGGACACCAGCTGCACAGTTCTGGATAAACTGCAGCCTGTGGAGGAAGAGTTGGGAAGGCCGTCAAGCAGGGAGTTAGGGTAGTCGAGCCTAGATGTGATAAATGCGTGGATGAGTGTTTTGGTGGCCTGGTGGCCGGAAAGGCCGTGGCACAGCGAGGCGATGTTGCCAGTGCCTGAGGTGTGGAGGCACTGACGGGAGCCAATCAGGAGAGCCTCGGTCTTGTTGACATTCAACTGGAGAAAGTTAGCATTGGGAAAAACTCCCTTCTCTTTTCCAGAAGTGTCATTAGTTCTTTAAACGTCCATCGGAACAGGCATACAGGACCTATGTCAATGCAGTGTTCCTACAAAATTGTATTGGAGTGTCAGTCCAGATAGAGTTCAAAGTCCTGAGGTGTGGCTTGAATGCACAAACTTCTCACTCAGAAGCAAGTGTGCTACCAACTGAGCCAGGCTGACCTGAAAGCTTCCTTGCAGCAGGACTAAAGTAGCCTGCATTAAAGCACGACATGAAACACCAGATAAATCCAGCATCTTAACATTTCTGATACACAGGGATGGTCTGTAAGACAATATACACAGAAGTGGCAGAGGTTGGATGGGCCCAGGAGGGATTTAAAGGTGAGACATACGTGCACACCTATAATACACACACTGTACTTCAGACCATCTTTGAATTTGAGGATGAAAACAAATTAGTTTTTTTTCTTTCCCCAATAACACCAAGAACTGATGAGGTGGGACGAAGGTGATGCATTTCTAGCAGATGTGCTTGTGTGCCATCTCATATATCAAGGACAATTCAGCTGAAGTATCACACATGTATCAATTGCGGTGCAAAGGAACATTACCCTGAGGGGCTGCTAAAAGACTGAATTGTGTATGATTATTTGTTCTTAATCGGATCACAGTTAAATGTGCCTTGGTTAAATTGATTTCCAATTTCTCCTGTCTTTGGAAGCTACCAGTCTCGATGTAGCCTTATTGACAACTCCCATAAAAGCTTCAGGTCCAGGCATTCACCAAAACGTTCATAATTATCCCTTCGTCTCTCTTCTCCATAGTCATGGAATGCCAAAACCGGATATACTTGTTTTTGGCCTGGTCAATAAACAAGCCAGTCAACTGAGGTAAGCAGCGTTGAGCTTAAGGGAACCCTGGGACGTGAATGCTGATCTGGCTGAGAATAAAATGCTCATGTGACTGAGTTTGTCATTGGGTTTGCTTGCTGCCTCACATTAAACATACATCACAGCTGTTCATTTATGCTTGAAATTATGTTCAAAGCACTTGATTGTTGCAAAGTCACAAGTGCATTATTACATCCAATTATTCATTTGGGAGAGAATTTTTGAAAAAGGTCTGAGCAACTGGAAAGTTAAAATGAGCGCTGAGCGCTACAACGTATGTCCAATTTAGCATTCTTAATCGTGCAGTCTAAACTATAAAGGCAGATAATTCTACTGAATTGATTTTCAATAAATAGACTCATGTCGTGATTTCGGATCATTTTCAGCCATGTTTGAGCACCTCTTAAAAAGGCAAGTCAATCTGCACAGCCTCAAATTCATGGCTGCTTGTGATTTACCCTTGAGGGGAAAAAGGGATCACAAGGCATTTCAATAAATGATGTAAAGCAACCAAATTCTGCAAGGACTCAGCCTGGAACAAAACAGTTGTCTGGATAGCAAAGACCAATTTCTTTTGCAATTTTATAAGTTTGCATCCGATTCCCAAACATTTTGAAGGTGATTTTGTGTAACTTGTGCATGTACCACTATTTGAATTCAAAGAACCTGTCACACAGCCAAACATTAATAATCCTTACATTTGACATTAAGATTGCCTTAAGATTAATAATGCCTTATCACGTCTTCTAGACATCTCAAAGAATATACTGTAAAGTGAACTGACTGTACATTTTTGTGGATGAAATCTGAGGCAAACAGAGAGAAATTATATTCCAAATAGACGATTAATTGGAAACCTGAAGCATAACTGGTCATGAGCAACTTGGTCTGCTGGACAAATCCCTTCTGACATTATCACCAAAATAAAAAGAAGCAGCAACAAACTTCCACGAGGACAAGGTGTTCATGTTGCAACTACAAATTCCACTTATGAAGTACACTCCATGCGGGATCACGTCTCTGAGCACTTTACAAGGACAAGGCTGGATGCTGAGTGAGGGAGAGTGGGAACTGGTCATCGGTGTGTTCTCAGAGGTAGGCTTTCAAGCAGGACTTGAACACGAAAACAAAGCATAGATATCAATCTTTTGGTGAGAAGAAAGTCACGACAGTCTTTCAGTCCGAGTTTGGGGGAGCAGCCAAATAAACCATTTTTTCTATGGGAGGTAGTGAAAAGGAAATGTGGCAACGATATCATCCTGTATGTTTTAAAATCTTACCATATAATGTTTATTTATGAGTTGCTATTTGTACACAATTATCATAGAATTATGATTCTAATTATCAAATTTGTTAAAAACTGAATGTAAATTGTGTAATGTTTGTCTACGAAGTAAACAATCGTGAAACTTTACTGTGAAGCTCTTTGAGTTGTTCTCTGACAGTTAAAGGCGCTATATCAAATGTAATGATTAGTATTATTGTAGGTTGAGTTCAGCAGTTCCTGCAAAAAAAATAGCGCAGGAAACCAAACAGAATTTGAAAGGTCACAAGTGCATTGCTGTGTGAAATGTACATTGTCCAGGAAAATATTGCTCAATGGCACACGGTAAAAGGGATGTTCCATTTTAGTGAGGTTTGTCTGAAAACAAATACATTGTTACATTGAGAATCCATTGAAGTAAAGAATGGAAACACAGATGTTGGATGAGCA